TAAAAATCGTTTTCTTTGTTAACTTGAGTTAGAAATAATAGACAAACAAATATTTGGCAAAAATGAAGATTCTTATGTTAGGTATTTGTCTATTTATAATCGGGTGCACACAAACAGCACCCGTACCCGATGATCAGTACCAGATTGGCACCGGAATCGCTGATATTACAGGACCGGCAGCTGAGATCAATATGGTATACAAATTGCTATAAATATAACAGTAGTTTACAATTTTATAAAAAATATTTTAATTTTTTAACACTTAATCAATGAATAGATGGGTTACGCAACGTTGGGTCAGGACACCAGTGGTATTCACTTAAGACTGTTCAGTAGGGCTGTCATAATAGTGGACAACACAGGCAATAGGATTCTGTATATCACTGCAGATCTTCAGGGAATCGCACAGATAATTAAAATGGAAGTCAGTATTACAGGCATTCATGCAATTTTAATCTAATTTAGAAACCTTTTCAACTGATTTGCATTAGAATTCACTCAAACATTATATTTTGCATAAATTTATAAACATGTCAATTACTGAATAGATAGTGAAAGCACTGGAAGCCAAATATAAGGATCTCTATCATCACGAGAATGTGTTAATTAGCGCAACGCATACCCATTCAGGACCGGGAGGTTTCTTCCAGTATTTACTGTACATATTCACGGCCGAGGGTTTCATTAAAGATAGTTATCAGGATATAGTCGATGGTATCATGAGAGTAAGTATGGCTAGATAACAAATCGTAGGATTAATAAATTATAGAAATATATGCTAATATTGTTGCAGAATCTCATATAAAAGAATATTCTGTTTTTATCCTAGAGTATAGACATGGCTCACAATAATCTCAAACCTGGATATATCTACTGGAATGAGGGAGAGTTGACTGACTCGAGTGTCAATAGAAGTCCCGCCGCTTATGATAACAATCCCAAAGAGGAAAAGGATAAGTGAGTGGACAGGGAATCATAGATTAATTAATAAGAGTAAATCAATTTTGAATAACTTTAATTTTAGATACAAATATAATACCGATAAGATAATGAATTCAATGAAATTCACTGACTTGAATGGTGAGCCACTAGCCCTGGTCAATTGGCACGCTGTCCATTGTGTGTCTATGAATAACTCAAACACTTTGATTAGTAGCGATAATAAGGGATATGCGTCCCTGT